TCTCCACAGGGAGCTCGTTCCAGAGGGTCGGAGCAGCCACAGAGAAGGCTCTCCTCCGGGTAGTCGCCAGTCAGCACTGGCTGGCGGATGGAATTCGGAGGAGGCCTAATCTGTGGGATCTAATCGGTCTAGTGGAGGTGATTGGCAGCAGACGGTCTCTCAAGTACCCAGGTCAAAGGAATATATATAAGGAATATAAATCCTTCCATTCTCCACCATCCAGTAAGAACTGAAGAAGCTTCTCAGATGAGGAGCGAAATGTCTTCAAAGAAAAACAAGGAAGTCCAGTTGCCTCTTGAAAAAATAAAGCACGCACTTTTAGGACTACGGTTCAATGGTTTATTGGATGCATGTTTTAAAACCAGCACATTTAAGGGACCTTGGGTTTAAAATTGGGAAATAACCGAATTAATATCTGCAATTCTGCCTGTGAGATTTTACTCAGTTAAGGATAAAGCTGGAGATGCTTTATTCACTAACCACCGAGTGAGATTTAAAGCTAGCAAAGTGGACTTTGCCTTCCTCATCATCTCAAAAAGCAAGCAACATAACCAGCAATTTTTACAAGTCTGTTTCGCATAACCTCTCCAAGCATAAAGGGAAATACTTGTTTTCATTTAAGATGGTTTCTGAACGTTGTTATGGTTTGATCTTAAAAATGTAATCTTGTAAAGAACTATTATTATTTATATATATATCAAGGTATCTGTCTGACTTCATTAAATGGGCACCCCCATAATATAGGGTGCCCATAAATACCATTAACCAAACTGGATACCATGAAAAGAGGTATCTGGAATATTGTAAGGTCGGAGAAATACGAGAAAACTTTGGCCTAATTGGGGGGAGACGACGTCTGTTATTCACAAACTTCTGTTAAAATACGAAAATCTCTCGCCGTGGGTGATTTGTATCTTCGGTTTAATGACATCATTACAAAATGACGTCGCTCACCAGAGAAATTTGACTGGTGCCAGGCAAAAGCTACTGAATCGAGATCTTTTGATTTGACGTTTCGCAGTACTTTGGGGAAATTTATCCCGTGCAGGATTAAAAAGCCAAGTCAGTTCACTCATTTCCCCCCCCCNGAGTGTGAGAAACGGCCGCGAGTCATTTCCCCCCCAATAACTTTGAATCGTCACTAAATGAACTGTTGTAAGTCAGGGACTGCCTACGGATGGACCTTCTTCATCCTACTGCTGCAGAGAGAGGAATGAGAAGGGAATGTCTGTAAATATTGATGGTGAAACATGATAGGGGCAGGGATGGTGAACCTTTACAAGGCAGTGTGTACATGCATGCTCCTCGGGGCTGCAACTTGGAAGAGAAGATGCCCAGGGGCCATGCGCCTGCTGGAAAATGAACTTCCAGTTCCTAGCTATGTGTACATGCCACGATCAGCTGGCCGGTGCGCAATGCTCCCACCGGAAACTGGGAAACCTTCCAGTTTATGGCGCTGCCACATGCACAAATGTCAGTTGATCTTTGCCAGAAACCCGGAACGGCGGCCACCGCGCATGCCAAGCGACATGGCTCCATGTGCCACTTCGTGCCATAGGTCCGTCATCACGGTTATAGAGAGTTGGGGATGATGGTCCTGATTTTGGAAACTTTGAGGAAGGGTCCATCAAACACCCGGAAGTTGTGACTCTATAATGGCTTCCTATCAGCACGAGAAAAGGACAATTTTGAACCAAACTTTACAAGCGCGAACTTTGTTTATGCAGAAACAGAGTTCCTGATTTCTGACAGCCACCGTTTTTGCTACCGAGTCCCAAACATCACTGTGAGAATCCGCAAAGAGCATTAACACGGCTTCCCCTTGGTTCCCCCTGGAAATTCACAGGAAATTGAGATCCGTTATAACTTAAACTGAGAATCTTTAAGGGGGAAAAATGATAAAAAGATAATAAGGCTACTAAAGTATGAAGACTAAATGGATGG